GACATGATTACAGGCACTCAGATTGTCCTAGCTGTGGCTGCTAAAAGGTCCTACACAAGGTTTTGCTCCTAATAGATCCCTGGAAGGCATTCCTATACTCTTCCAGTAGCAACAGGGAAATATTTTGGGCAGAAGGATTCTGGGAAAAGCATACAGAATGAGGTAGCCTGGGTAAGCCTGTTCTAGGTGAAAGAAGCCAGGTCATCGGCAGTTATGAACAACCACTTGCACTTAAGCCAAGGCAACTTCTACAACCCCAGGCTCAGCTCTTCCCGGAGGCTTGTAGAGTCGTGCAGTTGACTAGAACTTTCTGCAATGCTGAAATGCCCTCTCTCTCTGTGCTACCCCAAACAGGCACTTGAAATGTAGCCAGTATGACAGAACAACTCAATTTAAAATTTTATTTTAATTACATTTAAATCCAGCCAAATGTGGCTAGTGGCTGCCATCTTGGCTAATGCAGCTATAGAGAGATGTAAGTTAGAATCATGGAAAACAGCAGGTCAGGTCAGGAGTAAGACCTTTTCCTCCAGCTAAGGGTCCTGAGCTATTTCCTTCACTTTTACCACAGAGAAGGCTCTCTGCATTGAGGGAGAGCCCGTCAGTGGCTTCCACAGTCCAGAACTGTGATCTAGTGCTGAGGAAGGTGACTGCAGTTAGCGCTACCATATAGTGAATGTCTACATTTCAAAATGGTTGCGGAATGGGCTGCTTGGAATCCTTGAAGAGTAGAAAAATAGTAGAAATTCTAGGGATTCCATCTGTTGACATATAGCTGAGGTAAATAAAACCTAGAGGACTAAGATATCTTACCCAAGGTCACATGAAGTTGAATATTTCTGCTAACAAAAGTTATCACTTATAATAAAACAGGTTACCAGTTATTAGTTCTCAAAGTTAGAATGCACAGAAATATAATCAACACTAAAACCAAGCTGAGTGCAACTTAATATTTGTGATTCAGGACAGAAGAATACAAAAAATTCCCGTTGTTCAAGCTAGCTGGTGGTTTAAATCCTATCTAAATGGGGATAATGGCCTTTAACATACAAAATTAATGTCACAGTCCCCATTTATGAGTTCCGCTTATCTAACAGGGGAGGTGGGGAGAATGTAAGAGCTGGTTGGTGGTAATCCAATTTTCTTCCAATCTTCCCATATGAGACCCATACTGTTTATTTGCTTAGGGTCCTAGGGTACCCCGTATTTGGACACACGGCCAGGCATTCCAATCAATAGAGCCATTAGTTTTAGCCAGTTGTCCTTCAGCCAAGTTCAGGAAAGGACAAATTTCACTTCATTAATATATAACATGGAAAGCGCTGGTGACTACTTTTGATCTTGGAAAACTAAATCTTAATGCATGAGCAGCTGACGGTCCCACAGTAATCTAACAGACAATCTAACTTCTTTGGTTAAGATGATGAGTACTCTAATACAGTCCATCTGTAGTGAAGGCTGTTTTTCTTTTTTTTCTTCTTTCATTTTCAATCTACTGTGGACTAATAGTTCTGTAAAATGTAACAACACTGAAATAAAAACAGAAAAAAGAGTCCTACAAAATACCAGGCTTAATTTATTATTACTATTACATTCATCAGCTATCAACATTATTCTGTCAAATGCTGTAACTGTTGCTAATTGCTTACTCATAATTCCTGTACTGTCCAGACCAGTGACCGTTTGCAGTCTGGCCCGAGGATCAGACTTTGGGCAGCGTCACTCTAGTATCTACCCATTCTGCAAGGAAAACACACAGGTGCTTGTACTACAGAGGTGGATTTTTTTTTTTTTCTTTTTAAAGGAAGCTCTATGCCTAGTGTGGGGCTTGAACTCACGACCCCAAGATCAAGAGTCACGTGCTCTACCGACTGAGCCAGCCAGGCACTCCTAGAGAGTGTTATGTTCGAGGAAAGTAAGATCAGCTAATTGGTTGAGGGTCTCCCCACTTGGCTCATTTCAGATCTGGGTCATTTCGGGCCATGCCTGTTCAGAGCTTCTTCCCACCACATAAGAAGCAGGGTCTTTGGGCTGAGACTGGGCCACTGCATCTTGAGCTCTTTTTTTTCTACCCTGGCCCTCCTGAGCAGCCCGTTTCAGATATCAAGAACTAACATTTAGTTTGAATGGAATGATGGAGGAGGAAATACTTAAGAAAATCAGGTGAAGTCCTATGAAAGGTAGCCTCACAGACTCTTTGTCCTGCCAAGAAGACTTTCATTTTCTTTGATCTCTGTCTGGATTTGTAATCTGAAAATATTACTTCCAATTCTCCTTGGACTGTGGCCTTGAGCCTGGTGAGTACTGACTATACCACTCTTTAATGACTTGAAGTGTTTCATGATTACATGTTTCCCTTGATGCACATTGATGGGCTCCTGCTTAACAGTCCTTGTCTTTATATCTTGGCAGATAAGTCCCTTGAGCACGATATAAGCTGTTTGGCATGTGGCATCAAATGGTCTTACTTCCCCTGAGCTTGGATTTTGGTTTGTTGTAGGGGGTTGTAGATTAAGTTAATGTGGCCAAGAAAACCGCAGGAAATTTTCTACCTGTTTTGCTTTTACTCCGTCTGTTCATTTTTATCTTGAGTAATTTCACGATTTTGGTTTCTACTTGGAATTTGCCATCTTAAAAAAAAACTGCTATCCAGCAGTTTGGCTACTTTGCTTAATGAGAGTATACTTCACCATAGAAAAATATTGTGATGGATGGATAACAATAGCTTCTATTATAAAAAAGATACTTTTCTTTTGAAGAAGTCTAAGAATATTATGCAATTTGTTTAGGCTTAAAGAAATCTGTCTAAAGATTCCAGGTTGTCTAAGCAAAGTCACCCCACGTGGGTTTTGGCTGAAGCCAAGTTTTCTCATCCTCTCTGTACGGACACCCACACTAAAGCCGACTGCGGGGCGTTAATGGCCACTGGCTGCCTCGGGGCATCGCGGGTATGAACAGCTTGCCCAGCTGTACAGGTGCTACCCTAAACTGTCATACACAGACCAGAATAAAACAAACAGGACCGCTGCTTTATCAAACTCCTGACTCTACCATTTCCCCAAATACAGCCCTCTGCTGTCTATTCCTCTCACATCCACTCCTGATGGTTGCATGATTCACTTCCCAAGTTCAGTTCCACAACTCAAATATTTTCTATTTTGCGTTTCTCTTTGCCTCAAATTCAACAGACCCAAAATAACACCAATCTCAATCTTCGAGTTGGATGAAATCCCAGGGGACATCCAATTTTGACTTTCATGGCTACATGAATAGCATTTATGAAGCTTCCAAGAGGGGTTCTCTAATCTCTCCTGTTACAGCTCCAGCTCGAGGGAACTCCTCTCTTCCCAGAGCAGCCATTTTTGGTACTTCGCTTCCAATACCAATTCTCTGTCCATGTTTTCCCAGCCGGCAAATATCCTCCTCTTTCCAGTTCCTAAGCCCTGTTAAGTCCGCACCATCCGATGAGACCCCAGACCCTTCATTTCTAATCAAGCATAGGATTGTCAGGCCTACGGCTCCCTCGCCAAGCCCCACAGTTCCTAGCATGCACTAGGTCATCAGTAATTAATGGCTGATTAGTTGACATTTAAAATCAAGAGTTCAACCTTAGAAGATGCGCGTTTCTTACTTTGAACCTTGTGCTTCGTGGGATGTTTTTGACCTAAGAGCTAGATGCGAATTTCATCAGGTTAATCATAAATTAGAAATAAAACTACAGTTGATTAGCAGATGAAATGATAATTGTATAGTTTGTACATCATTGAAAGACTCCCGTGGAGAGAAGAGTGCTGTAGGCGATGGGAAATGACATTGCAGAGAAATATTGGTGAAACTGACCCAGCTCACAGGAGCGAGCTCATTCTTTGAAATTTCTCAGATTCTTCTTATCCTTTCCTGTGCAGACTGAGTCTAGCTTTCCTAAAATGAACTTTCGTGTTCTACCAGTAATGCTAGCATCTTAAAATTTCATTAAACACACAAAACGCTGAACCTTTGGTAGCCAATTTTATTTTCAAATGATTTCAGTCAGATGGCTAGCAAGAAGGACAACTGTATTTTACATACCATTTCCTTATATACCTGAAAACAGAACTATGCTTAAGGATTAGTTATGGGTAGTTCATTAAGGCCCAGATTCCTTTCTGATCCAAGAGCTAGCATTAGAAGAAATAGCTTAGAGATGAGTGAATCACCACTTATTAGACCAAGTTTCCAAAAGCCGTGCTGTAGCAAAAATTGCTAAAAACAGGATGACTTCTGCTGTTTAGAAGCTGGACTATAGAAAGCCCGTGGGGTAGGCAAATTCCTCTCCCTTCTCACCTTTCACTTAGAAGCGCAGTAAGTTAAAGGAATATAGCATTACGCTACTTCCCGGAGGATTCAGTGAGGGAGAAATGAATATGAAGGATAAGGAAAAGGACTCTCTCCTATTTCAATCTGTAACAACACAAAACAGATACTCAAGCATGTGCATGCACAAGCATGTTCATGGCAGTACCGTTCGCAACAGCCAGAAGGTGGAAACCAACCGCTCAGGTGTCCATCAACAGACAAGTGGGTAGACAGATTATGGGCTGTACAATGGGACATTATTCTGCCAGAAAAGGAATAAAATAGATCCATGCTATAAGGCAGATGAACCTGGAGAACATTCTGCTAAGTGAAAGAAGCCAGACACAAAATGCCATGTATCCTTCCTATCCCATTTAGAGGAAATATCCAGAATAGATCAGTCCACAGAGACGGAATGCAGACTGGTGGATGCCAGGGGCAGGAGGTGGGATGGGGGCGTGGGGGGAGACTGCTTCACGATAAGGGGTTTTACTTCGGAATCCTAGGAATGTTCTGGAACTAAGAGAATGGTGGTTGTCCAACACTGTGAATGTACTAAATGCCACTGAATTGTTCCCTTTAAAATCGTTAAAAAATAAAAAACAATCAAGTCTTAAAACCAGACCCTTGCCTCTAGAATTCTCTCCACCATGTTTTACACTTACCTTGCATACCATGGATGTCTTTGCTCCAAGCCTGGCAGCTTGGACACACTGGTTGGCACCTTTCCCTCCGAAGCCAATAAAAAACTTATGTCCATGGATGGTTTCTCCAGTTTTGGGCAAACGAGAAGTAAGACAGCTATAATTTAAAAAGAGAAGGAAAAAAAAAGGCACATCCATTTAAGTTCTTCAGAAGAGAGAGGGAAGGTTCTCTGATGGGAGTCTAGTTCTAGCAATCAGAAATGCAAGCAGAAGCAGAGTAGATCACTTTTTCCTTTAAGATAGCATGTGGCAGTTGGCATCATGACCCAGAATGCATCTGCTGACAGGATGTCTTTCTGTCCGTCCCCCCACCCCCCATTCCGCATGGTCCCACAGCCGCGCTACTGGAGATCCACTTCAGATGACAGTTTCTAGTGCCTACTGCATCAGGGGTACTCATGGGTGCCTCTGTTTTCCATCCTGGGGAGCTCTTACAGGGAAGTCCCTTCTGATTCTCACTTCCCAGCACCCAGCACAGACCTTTATTCACAGTGGGATAAGTTAATGTGTGTTTCTGTACAGGTTTATCTGGTCACTTTAACAAGAAGCAGGAAGCCTACCAGGGTTCTGGTAAGCATGCTCAGGACCTAAGGAGAAGAGGGAAGTTGCAATTCTAGGCACTCAGGAATCTCCTCTGTTTCCTGGCAGGTGGGGCGGGAGTGGGTTATGACTTCGATGGCACGATCAAGTCGTAGTCCCAGTCCATCCTGTATCCCACCCATTTCAGGTACTAACTCAAAAAAAGCATCTAAGCATCTATTCTTAAAAAATGGAGTCTAGAGAGCTAAGTTTAGTTGAAAATTTTTATTACAGAAAATTTCAAACCTATAAAACTAGAGAAAACAGTATACTGACTTCCCTAGCCCCAAGCACTCATCCCCCAGATTCAACCACTGTCAACTCCTAGCCAACCCAGCTTCAGTCTCTACTTTCATGGACTCCTCCAAGAGCGAAGGAGTTTTACTCACCTGTTACTCCCTGGTGAGGGTAGTAGCAGAGGAGACAAAAAGTCAGAGTGAAAGGTTTTCTCCAGGGTATGATTTTCATAACATTAAAGTGGAAGATGTGAAGAAACAACATCTTTGAGGGACAGAAGATGTGAAAATGGAGAGAGTCCTGTGTGTAAGGGTAAGTGAGGAAGATGGGCTTGAGTAGCATGAGGACTGGATGGCCACAAAGAAGTGGGCTGAGGGCCAGATGGAGTGCCGGCAGGTGTGACCAAAAAAGGTTAAGTAGCTTTAGATGGGAAAGAAAGGCCAAGAGGGGAGTTCACGACAGTAAGTCGATTGAGAACCTACTCTGTTTTGGCAGATCTGAAATTTACATTCATTTCCCACCTAGCCTGTGATCTATTTAAAACCAGTCTCTTATGCCTAATGTTAGAGTACCAGGACAATGCCAATTCCTACAGGTCACTAAGAGCCTGTTTGTAATGGAATGACTTATGACCGATGCCAGTTACTCACAATGGTGTTGATAATGACCAAGTTAACCTGGGCACCTCCTTTATGTGGTTCTAAAAGTCTCAGGAGATTGAGCTAAACTACTCCATTCCCTAGCACTGCAGTGTCAAATATGGTTATTTGAGATTCAAGAGAGACTCATCAATAATTTGAAAACATTCTATTCCACTCCTCCCCTTTTCAGTGCTATTTTTACCTCCTATTCTAAATGCATTTATAGTACTGATGAAAAAAATATCCAGCTACAAGTTCACTTCTGAAAAAGGTACTCAATCAAGAGAAAAATGGTTTTAATGTAATGTTATTATCCTGTCATTTAATTTAGCAGTGACAAGTGATGATGAGATTTTGATTTGCATCAGAAATCTTAAACATTTTAGGATTCTGTTATGAACAGGCAATGATGACTAATCCGTGCGACTGAGTAACTATGTGAATTCTTGGCTTATTGACGCTGCTACCAACAACATCCATAACAATTTTAAAAAGAAAAAATATCCAACATGGCTAAAAACAGGCCAAATAACCGAATTAGTAAGATGGTCGGTATAGAAACTTACGACTTTCACTATATTTATAGTTAGGTCTGGGTCACAATACTGTGGTTTGAATCAAGTATATTTTTTATTATTGGCTGTGGGAAGTCATGAAAAATAGATCAGCAGATGATTATTGGGATGTGTATGTATGGGATGGAGGAGTGAAATCAGGGGTACAGTGTTATGTGTTTGATGTGGGAGCAGATGGCTGGGATTTCAACTCCTTTCTAAACAACTTATATTAACACAAGCACTGTACTAATTTAATTTAGCCATCACTGAAATTTCATCACTGAAATTTCTCTCTCCTTGGGAATTGTACTCTTTTCTTTCCGCATTTCTGCCCTACTCTTCCTTCCTTCCTTCAATTGTAGACTCTCCCTGTATGCAGACAAGGACCAAGTCTGTCCTGTTCTCCATTTTATCCAGAGTGCCTGCCACTTAGCAATGGGCTTAACATATTTTTTGACTGAGTGAATTTTTTAAAGAGACTTCCTTTGTCTCCTTGAAGGGTAGAATATGACTGAAGGAGCTCAGGACAGGACAAAGCTGGCCAAACAGGCCGCTTTGGTGTACTGCTGATGGTGAGCCGTAGGCACATGAAAAGGAGCAAATGGTGGGAGAGGCTTTCTCTGACCTGCTCCTTATCTGCCTCAAGACCAGTTCCCCAAAAGGACTCTGCAGCCATGAATCCCCTCCCTGGGAGTTTCATTTACCAGCAAGGATGGACTCCTATCACAGGCGAGAAGTCACCACCACACCTGGACAATTATCACAAACATTGTCATACCTCCTATTTATAAAACCGAGGACCAGTCCATCTTTCCTAAATCATTTACTCTCCCCTAAGAGAACTTGCACCCCTTTCCCCCTTCCCTATTTAAGAAGCCTGAGTTCTTAATCCCCTTGGGGAGTTATTCCTTTTCCCCTGGGCCTTGCCCATGTACACCTGGGGCATCAGGTTAATACATTTGTTTGTTTTTCTCGTTAATCTTTTATTACCAGGGTCTCAGGCAAGAACTGAGAAGGGAAGAGGGAAAATTATCTCCCTTTCCACCTCTCTTTTCTGTGTCTCCCCTGTGTAGCATCCATCCCTACTTCTGAATTGCAGACGTGGAGGTGTTGGTGAATGGGAAAGAGGAGGCTGGTGGGAATGTCAATAGTCTGGCAATGACAATTTCATGGTTTACCAGACCTTGCCCACCGCCTTCCCCGTATTAGCAGCACGCCTCTCCTATAAGCAGGAACCATAACCAGAAATCAGACTACCCTTCTTCATTTGTGGGGTAATTCAACAAATGTTAAATTGGTGTTTTCCAGTTTACCTCTATGGGACAAAAGCAACTTCCTGACAATATAATAAATCCTAACCCTGATGCAAGCAATATATGAGTGGGGAGGGGGGACCCAGTTCAGAGCATGAGATTATTACGATCTGATTCATGATTTTTTTTTCTTTTAAAGATCAAATTGGTTTTATTAAATGATTCATGAATCGGGCAGCATCTAACAAGTAGAAGGGAGCGCCCCAACTCATAGTTTTTAAAAATAAAAAGATGCATGTATATGTTCTCATAATACGTAAATGCACAGAAAATGAAGTGTTAATGACAGGTATCCATGAAAATGGTGGAGAGAGGGAGCAAAGGTCCTGTTTTACTTTGTATACAGAGGTGTATGCAACAGGAATACCTTTGTGCATACGGGAAGCCACCTGTTACTACTTCAGATTCACCCGGCTTCCCAGCATCTTCTTCCAGCTTCCTGGTAGCCAAGGCCTTGTAGATGCAACGTAACACAGCCTTGCCCAGTGCCGCTCTCTGTCCATTCTAGGGTTTCTGTCCTTTTGTCGTGGTTCCCCGGCTGTCTCGCAGCATTGAGCAACCAGCCAAACACGTCAAGTGTCTTGTACAGGCTTTTCTCGCTCCCTACATTACAGTCCCGCACAGATTATATCCTCTTAAACCTCTGTCTTGAGACTTTTCTGTTGAACCCAGGCTAAGAAAGTTTACTGCTTAGTTATTTTTTAAGTGAATGACCTGGAGCTGAAAGCAGCTTTGAGAGCAACTGGAAAGTTACAGACAGGCAGAAGCATTTCTGAATTAGAAATCCCAATTTACCTTGAACTAGGGTTTTCTACCTCTTTCCTTATTAAGGTCATGAAATCAAGGTCCGGCTCAAGAAAGGACTTGCACAAAGCACCGCCCCCTGATGAAAGCATCGCTATGATTTGCCGCAATTCAGACCTGAGGCTTAGCAGGGCGCCAAGGACAGACAAAGCGCTCAAAGAAAAATAAAAGGAGAGCAGTATACTGGTAGTAATGCACTGTTGCTACCATTTAAAAATTAAAAATAGAGTCAAATTTCTGGATGATGGAGAAAACCCAGACAGAGAAAAACCAACCATAAGAAATATACCTGAACTTAAATTTGTAGCTTTAAAAATGTCACCTTTTAAATTTGCACAGGAGGAAACACTGCTAAATGTTCACAGATGGCCCCAGTCTTCTGGGCCCTGAGAGGTCACGTGGCTAGAGCCTAGTTGCGCAAGGTAGCGCGCCTGAGCCACTTACTGATTGTGCTACCTTTGACAGCTTTTCCCTCTTTGAACCAGCTTCTTCTCTTGCAAAACAGGTTTAATAATACTTGTCAACTCCTTAAATGCCTGGGTTTTGTGCTCTGAGTTATTTCACTGACAGGTGTTATCAGAACAACTAATCAATTGCTTTTAGCTTCTTGACAATGACGTGCTTGTTACAGATTCTCAGAGATGATTCATACCAAAGGAAGGAATGACCTGGTGAAGCAGGGAAGCGAAGTCTTTCGACCAAAGAGGTCACACTACCCCGGCTCCAGCCCAAAGTCGAGGAATAGGTTGCTTTTTGCGTTTCATCCTTTCTTCTTCTGGCTGCAAGCTTGCCAACACCCAGTATGCCTCTCTAATAGGGGACTGTACTATTACTGCACCATTAAAATTCATTGCACTCATTTGTCATTCCTACTGCCTGTACTCTTCAGCCATATCTGTTCTTCTCAGCATTTGTCTATGTCACATTTATAGGACTGAGCGCCATTTCCAAAAAAACCTAGTG